AGACCATACTCACTTAGCAAATCCAATAAAGTCCTCGTGATTTGTATTCATGTAAGACAGTTGAATATCGACCAGGAGAACAATTTGCTCTTTGGCTCGAACTTCACGTTCTCGAATCCAGTGATTCACAATGCGTTCGGTTTCCTCGCGAAGACGAGGAAAGTTTTCCATCTAGTTCGAGGATGTGAGATAGAAAATCAATTACTGAATGTGATTGGCTTTTAAATAAAGATGGAATTACTGATGCGACTTGATACGGATCAAAAACGAATAAATGCCATTTGTGTTTACGGAAAACAAATGATCACGTCCACTATGTGCTAAGTGTTCCGAGCAGCTCCCACTTGAAGATTCACAACAGTGAATGAACTTTGAGCTCCGGGTAACGCAGGTCATGTGGAGGAAAAATGCGCTCATTTCGAGTACGGAAATGTTTTGGAACGAACCGAGCGCATCATCAGTTCGTGTGGGATAATTTAATGTCAAACCACTAGGGAGAGAATCACACAATAAACATGAATCCACCGGGAACCGGGAAATTTGACTGACCCGACTTGTGCAGTTGTGCACAACTTCTGTGAGCTGTGCCACGACTCGATCCGCACAATTCAAGGATGGTACCTTCATTTTCTCAATCTGTTTTCGGGTGATTGTTTCAAACGCCAAATCCGGAGTAAACAACCCGGTGCTACGATCAACAGGAACAGAAATAGAAAAGTTCACCTTTACTTAGGGGGAAAAGAATATGTACAGATATAAATCCTTTACCAAATGAAAAATGAAAAGCAAAACGATTCGCACTGAAAATGATAGACAGCAGTTATTGAGTGTCGTGAAAAACTTGGGATTCTATCCATATGCTACCACCCTTCATTTGCAATTAAACAGCGTGTTTTCGTAACTTTGTCCGCTGAGTGTTTCGAAAGCCTCAGCATGGTCGGGAGTGGATGCCTAGGGGTCACCCTGCCCCGGCCCTCGCGGAATGCTCCCATATGACCAAGCGTCTCGAATAGCCTCTGCTGAAGAAGCCCTGCTCACTGTCTTCTCATGGCGTGGTATTTTCCTACCAAGGTGAGAGAACGAAAAGCCGATATCCGGGTTGGTGGAACACTGGCAGTTCACCTAGGGGAGTTGGCCAAAAACCCTGATTCTAAACCAACCATGAGGAGGCGTACGAACCAGACGCACACACCTTTTCGGCTCAATGGGGTATTGAGGCGTATTGGGCACCTTGGACGTTGGATCCTGTCCGAAAGACGTATGATCCGATAAATTGGACACCAGCCGGTCTAACGGATTGCGGATTTCGCACACCGCCCCGCTGTCTTGCGGGTCAGGATTTGGCTAGCCGAAGGCTCCGGTTGTGGATTCCTTAAGAAAATTCACCTGCCTTGGCCTGGGCAACTTGGCAGTACTCAACCCACAAGCCAGTCATGAAACATTTTCTTTTTTATAAAGATTATTGTACCGTGATTTGTTTGGTACACAGTCTGTCTTTAGACAAGTGTGAGATATAAAAATATAAAAGTGTTTCGTGACTATTCCTCAGTTTTTTACTGTGATAACCTTGATTGTGCAAAAATATACTCATTTAGTCATCCAACTACAGTGCGAAACGAGAAAATGAATAAAATAGTTTTCCATCCATCAAACTTTTCAGCATTTCACTATGCTCTCTTCCAGACCAACGTTCCCTTCATTTGGATAAACGATGTACTTATCAGTGCTCTTGCAAATACTATGAAATATGCGTAGACTGTAAAACTTTGCTGGATCATATCCCGTTCATACAACTTTCATACATTCTCGTACTTTTGTAGCAAATTTCCACGCTGGAGTTGCTTGAACCGAAATCAAGGTGTGCAATCTCTATCCTCATTGGTAGGTTCAATACAAAATAATGAGTTTTCAGCATGAACGAGTTCTATGAAACACCTAGGGTCAGTCAATGATAGAAATTAATTCGCAACAGTCTTGGCACGTTCAGTGAGGTTGGAAAAATGAGGTACTTGAATAGAAAACAGAAAATCCAGTACTATACAAAGATGTTTTCCTTAAATTTGTTTATTAATCTGAAATCATTTTGCTCAACTTTTTCGCATTGGCCCTCCCCGTACTCGTGAAGAAATTGAAAGTTTTGCAATGGTGCTAGCTATTCTTAAATCTCATAGCCGAAATTTCGGGTGACATTCAACACACCGTATTTTAACAAAAATGGGAAACGGTTTTATAATAATTTTGCATCCGTGAAACACAACAGGGATAACTTTTGGAGAAGTCTTTTATTTTTGTGGGATTTAATTAAACAAGGCAAACATTTTCATTTCCTTGAGTAAAAGGAAACAATGACACATAGAAATCTATTCATTTCCTAATAATGTTTGGTCAAATACAATTATTTCTTGGACGTCGCTATTGGGTAATAAAGTAGAAAACTTCATTTTGTGATATGAGGTTGCATGCCTGGTTACATATTCCGCTAGTGCATTTTGGACTACGTCATATATTCAAAGCAGGGCTAGTATTAAAACATCGTGAGAAGTTTTTGGGGGGAGTACATCATAGTTCCTCTCCCAGAATTCTGTTCGACAGCTCTGTTGCATACAATCGTACTGTTACTTCGCTAAACGGTCTGCGGGTGCGGGGTCTCCTCCGATCTGTGAGCACACATGAAACACTTTCACGTTGGTTGGTACGACAATCCGCCTTTTGTCGTTCCCGTTGGTCTGTGTGCTCTTGGTTTTGGATTCCGAATGAAGTCCTATACCGATTCTCCTGCCTCGGGTTTCACTTATATGGTAGTCAATCGCTTTTGTATTGGCCACTTGCAATGAGTTTTAGGATAATGAAACAAAAACCACAATAAACCTGTAGATGATTAATTCACTGTGAAACAAGAAAATAATGAGAACTAATAACTGGTATTATGCTTGTACAACCCAAGATCTTACATACACCCATTTACAGCGCAGATCGATTTCATTTATGAAAAATCGTCTCCGAAAAGAGCACTCCAAGTCGAATCCCTTTGTAGTCTAGCACCGTAAAAAGGTGATACAAAAGTAAGTTAAAGTAGCCACAGGGCATAAACTTACCGAATTCCGTGAATATTTCTGATAGCATAACTTATTTCTTTGCGCAGTTCATCTTCATCCGTTTCAATCTGAACACAGAAGAAATTGGAGAAGAGGGGAACAAGTATTTCAAAGTCACACACAGAGAGATGAAAAAGAACCAACTATTCGAAAGTTTTCTCTATGAAAAGACTTCTTTCGACTCCTGAAGAACACGGGAACGACGGTACTGTAAACGTGTTTACTGAATATGGTAGACGCGATGAACACAAATGCATGAGCAAATTAAAAACAGAAAATAATGAACGTACAGCATACCAGACATATTACCTTAGAACAGTTGATCCGGTGCATACCAATAAAAGGATGTTCCTTTTTATTTAACTTTATTGTATATTTCATTATGGAAACAGCCCTATCATCGTGTGAGGATAGTGGCGTCAATTTGTTCCCAGATGGCAGTTTCTGATCTGGAGTACATAGACGACATTGTGCTACTACTAAGTGAAGATCCCTGTAAATTGCAAGCATTTCTTGATAGCTTGAGTGCCAGGATAGCCATATTCGGTATGCGTTTTGCACCTTCAAAGTACAAAATGTTGCTACAGAATTAGGTTGGTCCAGCACCAAGTCTCATTCTAACTGGGGAAGTAATAGAACAAGTAGACAAGTTTTGTTCCTTGGACAGCTATATCTCACCCGGTGGACGCATCACAGATGAAGTGTCAGCTCGCATACAGAAGGTAAAAGTGACAATTGCCAACTTCAGACATCTGTGTCGCCGTCGCGACATCCGTGAAGGGTTGAGTATATGCTGCGGCGGTTCAGCCATTTCTATTATACGGCGCAGAAACTTACCCATTAAGAAAACACGATAAAAATAGATTGTCGCTGTTTGAACATCGCTGTTTACGCAGCATTGCACGAATCTGGTGGCGCAGCCGGATGAGCAATGCTGAGGTTAGGCGCAGGGTTTTAGGTATTCGCAGTCGCTCACTGGAGTAAATGGTTGACCTCCATAGATTACGTTGGTTGGGGCGTGTTACGCATGTCACAAAATAGGTTGCCACGGCGAGCGAGTTTCGCCGAGGCAAGTAGTAGGTGGAACAAAGCCAAGAGTGGTCAAGCTAAGACCTAGAACTAGGGTATGAAAACCGTGATCAGGAGATTCGGTCCCATAGGTAGCATTAGGCTCCCTGGATGGGGACCTCAAGATCGTGGTCACCGGTGGAAAGAGACACTGAGTGATATATCTGAGTGTTGCAAAGAGTGACGTTTGTGCATTTTCTCAATTTCTTTACAACCTTAGTCCACTGAAATTCTCCATTTTCTCTTCGGCTTCACTTTAGCTTTCCTGTCTTTCTCCATCTAAATGGGCAACCATAAAACAGCGACTGAAACTGACGCATGAAAGCCCATGACTAATGGTTGTACAAAGTGAAACCGAACATTGATTAAACTATCGGGTAAAAGTGAAAACCTAAGTGACAGCTAAGTAGCTGCTGTCACCACACCATCAGATAATAGTAGTGATGATGACCATGGGGAAAACTACCTGGAATGGTATTCCAACTAATTGCTTCGACTGGACATATAATAATGCAATGTATCAAACCTCAGACCTCACCTTCAGTTCATCCAACTAACCATACACTCGGCAAGCGTTGCGCTGGAGTTCGTTCTCGATTGAGCTCATCAGTAGTACATACACAACCTNCAACCTCCGATTAGGGGATTTGAACTTCAGGCACCTCCCACGGAAGACATGTGATACCACTGTGCCGAGCAGCTCAGATCGGGGCTGACTAGAACACGTAATTCAAAATTGTTCGGATGTCATATTCAATGCTAGTCAGTCAGTTCCTTTGGTCAATAGCGCACGTAAATATTATATTATTTATACATCACAAACGAGATTTGCTTCCAACCTAGGATATTTGTTCGGGTTCTCGTGGCCACGTGGTATACCTTATCTTCACTAAACTAGCGCGTATTAACAAAAAAACGAAAGTGTGAATGATAACAACGACCTTACCAAAGCTAGTTCGTAAGGGAAACGCTCGTAAAAAATTCGGTTGATCAATGCACCACCCGAAA